GGGGGGGGGGGAGGCATTCCAGAGACAGGCATGGACCGTCCTCCCTACCCATTGGGGTGGCGGGTACACGGGGTCCCGGTGAAGGGGGCGGGGGAACCCAGCCCCCGACGGTTCCCCGCCTGCCAGTGCACCCCTCCAGCACACACACAAGCAGCCAGCTTCATGCATTTCCAAATGGCCAGGCCTCACCCGGAGAGAGGGAGAGGGCATCAGCGTTGGGGGAAGTATTCAGCTCCGCCTCTTCGCCCCAGTCAGACACGGGCTGGTGGCCCCCAAGGGGCGAGAAGGGGCTAGAAGGCGTGGCAGGGGCCGGGGGAAGTGGCAGGGGCTCCTCTGGCCTGGAAGGCTCTTTGTCAGCCTGCTCACCGGTGGGGCTTCCGGTGGGCGCAGCCTCTCGGGGTTGGTGGTCTTGGGCTGGTTCTTCTTCCTCCTCGATGGCCTCTTCCTCCTCCTCCCCCTCCTCCTCCTCCTCCTCGATCTCCTCCTCCTCCTCACTCACATCTTCCCACTCCTCATCCTCCCCCTCGTCCTCCTCCCCGTCATCCTCAGGAGGCCGGTGGGCAGGAGGAGCTGGGGTCTCCAGCGGCTGCGGGGAGCACAGGGCAGGTAGGGGGAGCGGGCGTGGACCCGGAGCACCCCCACCCCCCTACCCGGAGAGGACAGCCTGCCTCACCTGCACGGGCGTCTCCTCGGGTGGAGGGGGCTGTGGGGCCTCAGGGGCTGGGGATGCTGCCTCCTTCGTCTCCCAGCGGTCGTCATGGTCACTGGAGGGGACCAAGGAGAGGGGTGAGGCCCAGGTGGATGGGAAGGGGCTTCCCACCTCCAGATCCTCTCCGGAGAAGAGCTGCAAAATTCATCTCCGGGCGAGAGGGGGTTGTAGGTTTGCGGGTGAGGACCCAGCATGCTGGAGCACTAAGGAGGAAACGGCGGGTCTGTGTCCCCAGGTTATCGGGCACAGATAGATGGAGGGGGGCCAGGTGGCAGAAAAGAAGAAGGGGGACGAGGAGAGGGATGGGGATAGAGCAGGGACGGAGGCCCCAACTCCCCAGAAGCAAGAGCCTGACCCACAAGAGAGACACACGTACCCGAGAACAGACAGGGACGAGACGGCAAACACAAAGCCACACATACACATGTCAGGACAGCCAGGTCTAGAGCCACACGGCCCTGCTGCGAGGGGGGGGCCTGCACACGCCAAGGGAAGGGGTGCCCCCACCTGTAGGCACGAGGGGCTGCCTTGGTCTGGGATCGGCTACCCTTCTTCCTCCTGCGGCTGACCTCCGCTTTGTGCTGGGACAGGAACTCCCTGAAAGTGGGGGGCTTGGGGGGCCGAGCCCAGGCCTGATCATCTGCAACAAAAGCCGGGAGGGGTCAGGGATGGGGGGAGGGGGGGCAGGGCACAAACTAACCCCCTCGCCCGGCCCACCCAGCGGCCCCACCCCACCCAAGGACACCCGCTCACCATAGCGATGGGATGGTTCGAGGGCAGCGGCTGGGCCATCCTTGAACCTGGGGAGAAGAGAGAAGGGGGTGAGCAGGCAGCTTAACAGAAAGAAAAAATTCAGTATTTGACCCCCAAAACAAAAAACTTCGAAAGCCCATAATCCCCAGCTTCCAGTCAGGCCTCGCTTGCTAGCACTCCTACGACACCGCGCTCCTGCCTCAGGGCCTTTGCACCCACTGCTCCTGGGGACACCTCCCCAGGCCATTCGGCGGCCGGCACCCTCACCTCCTCCAGGCTTCCGCTCAGACCCTCCTAAACCCCGGTCTAAAATAATCACATATTATTACACGCGCATCACCCAAGTCTAAAAGAAGGGTCTCCATCCTTCACGCTCCGTTGTTCCTCATGAGCTGCCGCTGGGATCTATTCAGTGTCCACCTTTCCAACTAGAATCTAGGTCCCTTGAAGGCAGAAGCAGTTTTGTTCACTGTCGTGTCCCCATCCCCTAGAATCCCCACCACCCTTCGTGACACAGAGGAGGGACTCAATCCACGTTTGCTGCCGAAATCAACGTACCCACGCGCTAACGAGGCGCGCCGCACGCTGCTTCAGGGGCTCGAGGAAGAACAATTACGTTCTCGTTCCCAACCCGGAGAACATCCCGCTAGAAGCCCGGCTGCCCGCACCTTAGAAGGATTCGCCACAACGTCTGTGCAGAGACCTCCTCACGCTTGCACCGGTTGGGCTCACGACCCACAGAGAAATGCTCAGACCACCCAGGCACACAGCCAACACTCTTTCTTCAGCCCGTGCCAGAGACAAAAGCGACAGGCGCGGAAACTTGCAAAGCAGCAAAGGGCGCGGGATGGCATGGAAAACCACAGCTGCGGGGGCGCCAGGGTGGCTCAGTCGGTTAAGCATCCGACTTCGGCCCAGGTCGTGGCCTCGCGATTCGTGGGTTCGA